TGCGCCTTAGGTTTCTGTTTGAGCTTAATTTGGTTTCATAAATCAAACAAATGCCTCCGCTTATAAATTAATAAATATTTATAGTATTAATGCTCTGGCTGGATTTTGAAACAATATTTAACATACTTAAACGAATATTTGTGGCCAACATAAGCTCTGGTCAAAGTGTATCTCGCACCCATAAACCCAAATCGTAACGAACTCGGGCCCCAAAACGGAAGTACAACGATATTGGAACCACCTCTGAGAGAGGAAGTGGCTAAATTTCTGGTTCGGTGTCGCAGCAAAAAGTCTTTTGATTGATTGCAACAAGTGGGAGTAAATTTGTTTGCAGTTTTGTCCGAGGCATGTTCAGCCTTCGTTCTACATCCCCTGCACCTGTAGCACCTGCGTAGCCCCGCCTTCATCCATCTAAATTTTAGCAATCATTTCAGAAACATGAAGTTTTTATGTATGTTCTCTCCCCCGAACCACCAACCCAGCCCATAGACTTGGCAACAATTTGTATGCAAATGATTTGTTTATGTCTGTTAGCAGCTGCCACTTTTACTACCAAACAACCTCTACCTTGGCCAAGACAGAAACAAAAACAAGTTCTTGGTGTCTGATATCGTTGATAAGATGGCCAATGGCCAGGCCAAGGAGATTATTATACCACCCGACAATTGCGGGTTGTCACTCCCGTCAGACAGATGGACAGACTGGCAGCCACTGCCATTTGTCTTTGGCATTATCTTGAGTTTTAATTGGCCGCAAATTCTTTTTGGCTCAAGTGAAATTCTCACGAATTTGTGTGCGGGACAGGAGCGGCTTTGATGTATTAAAAATTAGGCCCATAAATGTAAAAGTCGACCTTTTTTCTGTATATTAAATGATAAATTTTGTACACGTTTCCACTCAGTCCGCTCCGGTTCAAGGGTAAACTACCCAAAAGAATACTCAAATAATGTGTAATAAATCTTAGCGAGACTCAAAAATGTTGTGTAAATTAGCAAATTCTTTAGCAAGATATACTTTGCTGCCCATTTACCCTACACTACACTCCTGTACTGTTTGACCGTCAGAACACGTCATAGGCCTTTTGGTTTCGGTACTTTTGATTAATACAAAACTTGACTAATGCATTTTTAATGAAACAGCCAAATGACATCATACAAAATTGGCTCGAAGGTAGCCACAAATTCTACAAGAACTACAATATAATTGTATCTAACATTGTTTTAAGCATGGCATAAAATTCCCAAAGAATTATATGATATAAATTTAATCGTAATTTGTATGTCAGCTTGTTTAATTTATGGCTACCCAAAAGATGTTCCAGCGAACGTAAATGTATCTACGAATCTGTGTAAGGCATGAGGGCATTCGTTTGCCTTTCACTTGGAGGCCGACATTCATTCCACAAAACTTCTCCTTTCGGCAGCTGCAGCATGACATTAAAGGATTACAGACATTGCTTGGGCGGTTTTTTAATCACGAAAAAAACCTAAAGCAACGCCCGGAAATGCCACAAAAAGAACAAACACTGTAAAAAGAGAGCTGCATTTGTGAGATTCCACAAGGGCAACGGGGCAGGGAGTCATTCAACTTCGGTTACATAAGCTTTCAACATCAGCGCATCGAAGATGCGTGCAACCCGGACTCGGAAGCAGCTGCAGCAAAGGGACATTGCTGTGCGTGTACGAGTATCTCTCGCATTGAAGGTCAACGAATGCCACATGCAACACGGGGCTCTGAACGGGGATCAAGGGACTTGCCCTGCACGCTCAGCCACACATGACTCATTCGATTCGGTTGAACGATTTATGGACTCAGATTAAACGCCTTTTTTGCATTCCCGCAGCCAGGCATCACCGACTGATTGCTTCTTGACTCACAAGCCAAAAGTGACATTTGGTATTTACACAGAAACAAATCGCAGCCCCTGCCCCTGCCCCTGTTGCTGCCTGCCACACTTTTCTGACTGCCTGTTTTATGGTGGTAGGCTTTCTGAATTTGGTCACAAAGTATTGGTCAATCTCTGTGTGGCTTTTAGTCGCCTCGAATTCTGTTTTGTTCCAACATGAAATACTGCTCTTGGGGAGGCTGGGAAGTTACGTGGCTTAAATCGAACTTGAGACGACTTGTCGCTTGCGGCTTGTTAAAAACGTATCTTAAAATCGGATATTTCTATTTCGATTTGGCGTCTGATATTTCTGCCACTTTTTGAATTTTGATTAACTCTAAATTTAACTTGTTATGCGACTGATGATGGCTAAAACAGCTATCTATATCTATTGGGTTTTCTGCGTGGTTTTGTTCTCCTCAAAGGTCGTTTCCGACCAACACAACCAAACAGCCTACAATCGTGTATTGTTTCTGTGTGATGTGATCATAAAATTGTGTGGGGGCTGAAAATTCGCAACAGAAAGAGAAAAAACAAAAGCAAATATACAACATTTAAATTCGATTCGTGCTTAAATTTTGGTTTTAAATACAATTTAAATATATATACTATAACATTTCTTTGTCCCTTTTTTGCTGTTGGCAAAAAAACACTTGACTCACTTTTGCTTTTCGAGTTGGCTGGTGGCCTTTTTTATCTCCAAATTATGTTTAATAATTTAGCACTCAATGAAGCAGCTGTCAAAAGAGCATTTACATATGAACTAAAGTTAAGACAAAGTTGAAAAAAAATATCAGTTTTAAATGCTTTACTTTTGTTTTTCCTGTTTTATTTTTGTTTTTTTTACATTTTTAGCCACTTTGGGGCACAGTTCGAGGCTTGCAAACAATAATGCAAAAAATACTTAAAATATTTCAATATTGCTCTGCACATTTCGAGGGCTTTGAGGTAGTGGGATTAAAGAGCAAGTTTCCAGGGTTAAGATACATGGCATGGCCAAAAGGAATTTCGAGAATTTGTTCAACCTGTTGGGTATTTTGTGGAAAAATTGAAGACACTTCCAGAAGGTTTGGAACGTCTCTAGAAACCTCTTAAAGAAAACTGCAAACCGAAATTAGGCAGAAAAAAGGGCATCTTCCTAGGGAGCCTGATCGCAGTAGTTGTAATTATTTTAAATTGCAAAAATAAGCTACAGGCGATATCTTTGAATGATAGTCAAATTTCCCACTGTAATATTTCTTTACAAAAATGCGCTACATGTCTCCACGAACAGCCTCGAAAGCTATAGCCTTTGGCGCATTATTTCTTTTAAAAACCCACGTGTATGCACATCTTTTATACGAAATACTCGTACCAATCCCCAGCTGCGCTACATGCTGAGCCCCTCCGCAAGAAACGATTTCTTTCTTCAGTTTAATCGTTAACAATATATATAAAATGTCTCGATTCGATTCGAATGCAGCCTTGACTTAAACATTGTCATTAAATTCATCCTGTTTTATGCGCCCCAGAGAGCGAAGAAGTCGATTCATTTCTGTGTCAATTGCTGTCCTCAAGAGCAGCCGCCAGTCGCAGGCTGAAATGTTTCCCGCAACTAAAACCGTAAATTAATCCGCACAAAAGTGCGTTAAATGTCAGGCAAGACTCAACGAGAAAACATTCTTAATCCGCTTCTAAGCGGATCATCAAACGGAAACGTGTCGGAAAAGGTGTCTCAATTATGGCCAAATGGATTAAAATATAAGTTAGGCAATTTCCTAGACTAGACAACATTCTAGAGATTAATCTACTATGGCTAAATATATTCAATATATAGAAAAATAAAATATAGAAAAATTCAAAATATAGAAAATATGTATAGAAGGCGGCCATCATTATTGGAATTAATCATTGAACAATGGCATAATCAATGATTAATTCTAATAATGATGGCTGCCTCTTGCATATCAAAGGAACCCAAACAAAATTAGTATACGGAAATCAAAAGATTTCTCGTGCAGCCAGCCAGTCGTTTATGCTTCGTTTTTTTGGGATAGCCAAAACTTTAATCAAATCAATAAACCAACTAAATAGTTAGAGAACCACCAGAAAATAGCAACAAATGAATGTATATTCATCCATCGACTCATAGCTGAAATATCACTTTTCGATTAGAAATAAACTTAAATCAAACTAAAACACGAAAAACTCGAATTTTCAATTAAAAAAGAACTGAAAACGTTCTGCGGGACAAACAAAATACAAAGCAATAAAACACCAAAAAAGAAGAGAAAAACGAAGCTATCTTTAAATATTAATGAAGGGGGTTCAGAACCTGAAAGTGAACTTAAATTCTTGGGACACGCAAGCACATCCTCCTCAAGAGAGGATCTCTCCCAGAAAGTGAGCGATCTGAGAGAGTTCTCTCGGCGAAGTGCGAGATTTATCAAGTATACGACATGGTGTTCCGGCTGTGAGTTAGTTCAAGCTCATCTCTCCGCGGCGCTTGGACAAATAAATTAACAAAAGCCACCAGGGTAGCTTCGAGTGTGGAATATTAGATACCCCTACAGATTGATGGGTCAAATTAATATATTATCGTATCTTTGGAACGTATCTAGTCTGGATCTTGAGGGGAAATCATGATGGCATGGCCATGTGTTGTCTTTTAAAATGACATATCTTAAATTGGGAGAAAGATACTGCTTTTTGGATTCGCTTTTTTTATCGAATTTGGTCATTAATTTCTCAGAAAACTGTAAAATATATTCAGAAACATAAAAATTTCACTCGCATACTCTTACATCAACTGTGATATTGATTATCGCATTCAGAATACCCTCCATTACAGGGTGTACACAAATCATATGTTTAAAACCCGTTCCACTCACACACGCACGCACTTTAAGCCACAAACGCAAGCTCTGGCTCTGGCTCTGGCTCTGGGCTCTGGAGTCGCGCTGCTGTGACTGCTGCTGCTCTCAAGTACATTTTTTTGAGCGCGTCATGAAATTCGATTTCAGCCTGTCTTTATTTTTTATATTTGTGTTTCTTTTTTTTGTTTTGTTTTGCGTCTGCCTCTTGGTTTATATGGCTAAGACGCGATGCGTTCATCTTCAGTTCGTCCAGATCGGTCACCACGGTATGAGCTCTAGTTAAGGCTCCCCAAAGTAAATACATACTAAACAGATCCCAAGAGATCTCATAAGATCTCTCACAAAATCCGTGATCCCTCTCACATGCAAGAAAACAAAAAAACCAACCAAGAACTGTACTAATTGCAAGGATAAACAAAAGATATCCGAAAGAAAAACTGTATAGTGTGAAATCTGTGCTCAATCTATAATGAATATTTCTTCTCCTTTTCAAGATTGGAAATTGGATAACTCAAGTTTATTCCATTTATAAATTTTTTAATATACCTAAATAAAGAATTACTGGAGCGTTGCGTTGTGCCAAAAATAAAAACTTAAACAATTCGTTGCAAAATGACGCGTGCAGTTTGTTGCATGGTGAGTTAAAAAAAAAACGAATAATATAGTAGTAATAATACTAATTGAATGTGTATTAAGAATATTTTTTTAAATTGGAGGAAGTATATTTGGATATTCAAAGGACGGACTTTATGTTTTGTATGGAATTTTGAAGATTTAGACAAGGAAATCATGATACAAAATTATTTGAAACAATCATAATAAAAGTTATAGTTAATAGTTAGAGAGAGTCTATATTTTTGTCGAGTTATTTAGGGTTTTTAGTGCTGGCTTTTATAGATATATTTTCTATATACATTCAAAATATTATCTTACCTTATAATCATAATTATTGAACTCCATTCCGTCTGTCATCAACACTTGGCGAGCGCTAAAATTAAAATCAAACAAGAGAACCAAATAAATACAGGGAAAAAATGCGTCTGACTCGAATATTTGATTGCAAACAAACAAAATAACGATTTGTACGGCAACAACTACCCGCAGTTAAGATTTGAAGGCTTCGAGAATACATCAGAATGCAGCAAAAGTACAGCCAGAGAGTACTACTACTACTACTCTACTCTTTGGTATTTGTTGAGCTTCATCAACATCAACAAATGATTCCAATTCCAATAACGATGTCATTTCTGTGCATGAGCAGACGGACAACAAGTCCGGGTCAAATTTTGTTACTATTTTCGGTTTTATTTGCACAAGTACTGGCTTGAATGCAACTTAGTTGAAGGGAAATGAATGGTTATAGTACGTAATAGCAATGGCAATCACCAGGCCCGGCATTTTACTAGACAAACAAAATACAAATACCGGCAATTTCGTAAGCGTTTTCGATGAGTAAGTAGCACCTACTACTATTTGTTTTAGCCGCAACGCAAAACGTCTTGCCAATGTTTTTACCCAGTTTTTGTCATTGAAATCCAATCGATATTCGTGGCTGTTATTTTTTACATAGAAGATGCGTCAATAACAACACAAAAGCAAAACAAAACCAAGCAAAAGTGAATTTCTGGTCAAAAGTGAGAGATAATTTGTATTAAATGATTTTATCGATGGGATATGCAAATGATTTTGCATCATTTTTTACTTTTTGTTGCTGATTGTTGGGTTTATTTAAAGTCAAATGATTTGCTTAGTTCCGTTTGAGTACGATGTTTGAGAAAGTTGTGGTACAATCATCATATTTTAAGTCAAGGACGTGCTTCATTAACAAACCAAAAACTATCCAAAAAGAGTGTTAATTTGATGAAACCCGCAGCAAATTCTTAGATAGTATCCAACCAAAACATGCTAATTGTCCCAAAAGATACAGATTGCCCAAAATGTATATATAAAGTGTCATAATGATGCCACGATATCATCTCTATTTCGCACTAGAAACAAATTGTTTTTGGCTTTGGAATTCTGTCACCTGCCAAAAGGCCCGCGCAAGCCTGCCCTGTCTCTCGCTCCGGGGTACCTTGACCCCTTCTTTGCCAGCTTGGGGTTAAGCTTGTGGCTCCGAGAATTTATCACGACAGCATGCGGCTTATTTCTGTCAAACACGTACGAAAAAAAAAATGTGGTAGGAGTAAAAGATTGTTTATGCCCTGCGGCAACAAGCGTTGACAGGGCGGCAGGCCATCGTCTCATTTTGGCCCAGAATTCTGGGATTTCTTCAGCACTCCCACTCCAAAAGCTGAAGTTTGTTTGTGGAATTTTAAAGAGTGTGCGAAATTTTCATCTGCCCTTTGAGACGCAGAGATTTAATCGGACAGAACACAGTCAGTAGTAGGCAAAAAAGTTAAGTTCGAGTCATAAAATGTACTCATGAGTGAAGTGTCTGGCATTCATAAACAGTTTGAAATAAATTAGGGGGATTTATTCGGTTGTAAAAGAGAGTGTTAAGCGTGTTTAGCATGTGGGCCATTGCAGGGATTGAGTTTACAGTTAACGGAAGCAAAATATATAACATTAAAGGGGAAGGAATATATATGCAAAACTGTCTTAATTCAGCTTAAATTTCAACTCAAAAGATGTACAATCAAAGGAGCACTAACCTTAAAACTTCTTTCCTGTTTCAAATTCGGTTCTTTAACACCTCTTACATAAGAGTTCATAGAACTCCAGGCCAAGCCCCATTCACTTTTATTGCCTATCCATTCTGAGCATTCTTGCCGTTCAAACTCTCCATCTTCATCGCTCAACTTTCGATATTTAAAGACTCCCCAACAGATTGTGGTTCTCTTCGCTAATTTCAATATCAAAATCTATAGATACTATAGAGAGTGTGTGTGTGTGTGTGTGTGTGTGTATCTATAATGAAAAATCTAGAAATGCAAATGAGCCTGTGGTGATTGCCAGGCAGCGATTAGGAGAGACAAAGTCTGTTGTGGGCAGAGGAGGAAGTCTTCGTTCAGTCTTTGGCTTAAACGCAAAATGTTATGCGAATGGCCACAAAATGCCAAAAGTTGAAAGTAAAAGTTAAGGTTTTATTTTATTATTTAAAATAAATATGATGTCACTCCCGAAAGTGATGTATAAGTGAATGCCAGAGTATCCGAAACGGTTTATTTCTTAATTGCTACCATAAATCTGTTCTGATTTGGATAGGGGAAGGAAGCTCAGTGACAGGTAAACTGAACATTCCATTCCCATCATTGTTTTTGGGATATCTGATGGGGAATGAACTCGCTTTAGCTTTTGGTTCTGCTCTGTTAGAAGACCTCTAGACACTGATGCTAATTAAAACCGCTCGCTGAACTCGAACTGGAAAGGTTTATCCTAATTTCAGGTTCGACCTGTTTTTCAATCGAATTTTATCGATCGAATCTGATTTTTTGGGCATATTTTTTTGGTGGGTTACAAAAAAGTTTGCCAAGTTCTAATAATTCTTTTGTCATCACAAATTATTTTATTTGTTGCCGGCTGAGGCTAAAGCGCTCATTAAAAAGTGTTTGTTTGACATTTTTGTATGTCTGGCTTATGTAAATATAAAAATATTCGATTTCACAAACACGAAAGAAATTTCACAATTTCTTGCCAGGCGCAGCAGTCCCCGAACGAACGAAACTGCATCCCACAAACTTGTGTCATCAATTAAGGTCAGAGATTCCCCGCCGCATAATTGGTTGCATTTTCTTTATTTTTTTTGTTTAGTGCTTATTAAACATATTTCTTGCTGTTCAATGCATATGGGCTCATGCCAGATTGACCTTGAAACGTATTGAATACTTGAGGTTTCGCCTCCAAAACCGCCAAAGGGCAAAAAGCAGTCAAGAGTCTGGAGATGGAGATGGAGATGTCTTAACCGGTTTGTTTTCGGAGCCCCCGGAATGATCATCAGCGAGAAAATGTTGTAGCTGAAGTCATGTAAACAGCAAAAGCAACAGCAACATCTATGGTGCGTGCAAATAAGTCGATTAATAAATTTTCAAGTTATGCAAAAATGGCAACAACTTGGCAAAAGATTCATTGGCTCATTGTAAGAACGCTCGAAGCATGCAGCATGGGTTCTCGTTCATTCTCAAGGCGTAGAGTTTTGTGGTTTTTTGGGTCATGCCGCCACAGAGGAGCCACTTGTCTTGGAATGATCTATGCGAACAACGCCTCAGACCTGACGTGCCACTTGATTTACTGCATTTGCAACTCAAACTGAAACCCAAACTGAAACTCAACCAAAACTAAAACCTCTTCTTTTGTGTCTCTGTAGCTCACATTTTTTTGGATTTGTTAATTGATTAAAAATTGATTTGAGGCTTGGCAGCAGCAGTCAGCCAGCCAGGCAGCCCCCATTCACTCAATTGAAGTGTAGACTAATTATTTATAACAAATGAACTTATCAGTCTGTGGCCTAGCCCACAAACAGGGGTGCAAACATCATAGCCATAGGTCAGAGGTAAAGTTTGAGTTACTTTGTGGAGGGAGTTTTTGGTTTTGAAAGGATTATTTGCAGACAAAGTGAATGTGTGGCAAAAAAACTAAAGAAAACTTTACAAATCTGTCATTAGAATACTTTAAAAGTTTTCCTGGAAAACATGCAAAACCTCTTAGAAATTCCTTCTCTTAAATCCCTAAAGAGCTCATAATCCTTACTTTTTAGACAATTTTGGAAAACATATTCTACCAATTTCTGATAAATATTATGTGGAATATTCTCCCAAAAGACACAAGACATGATATCAATCATATTAGCAACCCAAGTTAGCACGAGTTTAAAGCCCCCACGTTAGTTTTCCAGACAAACTTCCCCGGGCAGGCCTGCGAATGTAATCAACTGTCGAAACTGCGTCAAAAAATCAATAATCACATGAAAATTATGAAAAACTTTTGTAATACACTCCCCAAAAATCCCTCCCAGAGACACTCACTCACTCAGTGATTCATTGAACTCTTTGGAACTTTATTCATTATGAAAAATGTGAGCACTCCAGAGGCCTGCCATCGGGGGTGTTGGAGTGATAGAGAGAGAGAGAGAGACATGGAGAACGACCTCCGTTGTCAGCAGCTGTTTGATATTATGGCATAATAAATTATAGTCTTTTTTCATGGAGATATGGGAGCAGTCGATTTGGCAACAATTTAAACTTGAAGATATGCCAATCAAAAGACAGTTAGCCATACGCACCAATCCGAGATACGATGCCACCAATTTGCATTAATGAGATTTCATATTTCGATGCCGTTTTCGATGGTCAAATAAATTTTTTTTTATGAGAAATTCATTTGTCTTTAGTATTTTGTCTATGGTTTCCTTCACATGGTTTGGTTTTCATTTTATTTGCCCCCACAATATAAAAATAAAAACAAAAAATTATTGACCTTATCCGCAAAATCTATAGCGGGTGTTAACCATTGTTATCCAATATGTATAATTACCCGTCATCTCTTTTTAACCTTAAGATAAACTCTAAGAGACTCAAAATCAATGCAAATTGTAGACAATGAATATTAGATGCTCTACGTTGAGGTTTGTGGTAAAAAAAAAAACAAAAACAATTCCTCTACGAACACAATGCAAAGTGGGAGGCAAAAGACAAATTTGATTCCGTTACTGCAGACAGTGTGCAATGCGCCCCCCCCTTTTTTTTGCGTCTCCCTTTTGATTCTGTTTTCCGTAGCGAACTTGGTCGCTCCGCAGGTAGAGAGAGATAAGTCTCTTTACTCTCTTTCTCTTGCTTTTTCACACCCACCACAACTACAGAAACGAGACACCTTTGCATTGGCGTGTCTCTTGCTTGTTGTTGTTGGTATTTTTAGACGTGTTCATTCATGTTCGGGCACCACAAAACAGAGGGAGAACGCAAGCTAAGCTTAATATTGAGATAAGAGATCGGGTGCGCTCGGTTTGTTTTTTTCTCTCAGCATTGGAAAAATAGTTACCAGACATCTCTTTAACCTTAAGACAAACCCTCAGCCGTACCAATACACACCCTCATCGATCCGAAGGCACATAATTAGAGGCTGATTGAAGAGGAGGCTCTTCTCCATCTATCAAAGATCATAAACCAAACGAACTGTTGTTATTGTATTTAGCATAATGTGAAGGTCTCTTTGGTGCGTATGTCTTGCTTCTGCTGTTTAGTGACATATTTTAGAAATATGACTGCCTTTTATGAATTCTAATAATACAACTCGTTTCTGATAAGGAAATGGCCACGAAGCCGGAACCGTGAAACGAATTAAATTAACGATCTGAAGAATTTATGCTAATCAAAGAACTAACAAAACTTTAACTAAGCGTAAGAATAGCCCTAGATTATGTGGCATACATATGTAGCTACACTGCATTCATTGCTTATAATCATATTTAGTGAGTGCCACTCCAAAATGTCGACAAGTGCATTAAGAACTCGGCTAATTGTCCATTAAACTGTCTGTAAGTGGCAGCCAAACCACAAGTTTGTCTTCAACTTGAAGCCAATTTTTTGGTTTTTAGCAAAGAGTGTCTGACATTTTTCGCAGCGACTGTGACAAATCGAAGGAAATTAGCATATAAAAATCAAGTTCCAGTTCTAGTCTTTGAGCCGAAACCGTCTGCTGTCAAACCGTTTTTTGACGAGTGAAGCCACAAGGAGGAATGTTGTGCTTTGATTATTTTATGCCTTTGACATTTTGGGGCATTTTTGTTGTTGTGGTTTCTTTGGGAACGAATCGAACCGGATCCAAAATGGGGCTGCTGCGGGGATGGTACGAGACGTTAAAAACGAGCTCAAAACTTCCAAGTTTTTTGGTTTTGTTGTTGCATGTTTGAGTCATCGTGCCTCATATGCAAATCCAACAAAACGAAGAGTCAAAGCCGTAGTTTAAGTCTTACATTTTAAACGATTTTGTGGTCTGTGCGTGAGTGTGTGGGGGCGTGCCTTGAATGTGACAAATCTTTTCAAACAGCTGTTACCATTACTCATTTTTCTCTTTTTGTGATTTTTTCCAGGTCGTTGCTTGCATCTTCTTGGTGCAATGCGTTTACTCTGCCAAATTCGATGCAGAGAATCGTCGTCTTATACTCGACATAAACGATCAAAAGACAACGAATCAACAATATTATTCCTCTAACTTTGACACAAGTAAGTGACGAACACGTTTCCCTTTTCCCCTTACTGTAACCATTGCGCCGCTGTCTATATAACGTTGTAATAAGTTGCTTATAAAACCATTACAAAGAAACATACAATCCCAAAAAAAATCCATTAATTTATGTAAAGTATTCTCGTAGAACCTCCTTGTACTTGTATCTCCCACTATCCACCCAACCCATTCCATGCAGTTTAGTTAGTGTTTTTCTCATAGATGAAAACCAATTTTGTTAATGTAATTGTTAGTACTAGTAGTACCTTAGTCTTAAGTATTTGTATACCCCCTGCCACCCACCCTACCACCAACCCCCTTCGTTCTTCATTAGAATGTCCTTTGTAGTATGTTCTTTTGTAGCAGCTTTACTAAAAATTTCACCACAGTAGAAATCGTAGACTCAAATTGTAAATATATATATATATACCGCTCAATCAAATCAATCAATCAAACAACCATCTATCTATATCTCTCTCTCTCTCTCACTCTATGTCTCTTTTTCTTCTCTATGCAACTATCCTCTTTCTTTTACATACTTTTCTTGTATGAAAACATGAAATTTTATATGAAAAAAAGCTTTGCATACTCATACCCTCCTCTCACAACAAAAAACAAGAGAAACCCAACCAAAAAACTAGTTAAAAAATTGTTAATACAACAAACAAAACTCAACAACAACAGCACACAAAAACACCAACATTTTCTATATACTATAATACTTTATCAAAAACAAATCCCAAATGACTAGGATTATTCCTCCAAAGGCAAAATAATAATAAGATGTGTAACGAGGAAGCAAACAAATTATACAATGAGCTCGAAATAAATGCTAGTTTGAGAGCCTACGAAAGAGATCCATTTAAAGATGCTCTCTCGTGGCTATTGGAGGTTTTTCCTGACATAAAATTAAATGGAAATCTCTTTCTAAGATACAAATTTCCTCATTTGTTGGCGCATCTTATTATTAAAGTGTCTTTGGCTAAACGAAAACCTTTTGCGGCGCATTGTACGAAAGTTCTTTTAGGTTCAGAAGAGAGTCAGTCAGGATGTTAGATGAGTCGATAGGATTCTTAGGGATATCTACAACATTTTACAGGTTTTGTCACACACCAAAATCACACACACACACGCCACAAAACCCAAAGTTATACCTCTAAAAACATTACTCTTTCAACAACAAAACAAACAACAAACCCAAAACCACAAAACCAATTCGTAAACGATCGAAAAAACAAACCAACTAGATGCCTATCGTTATGGCTATGATGTGGGAAAGACAGGGAACTTCCATCACGAGACTCGTGGACCCGATGGCGTCACCTATGGCTGCTACGGTCTGATCGATCCCTACCATCTGCTCCGTGCAACACACTATGTGGCCGACGCCCATGGCTATAGGACAGTGGAGCCAGAGAAGCCCGTGGAGACTTTCCCGCCGCATTTGTACAATGAGACGGATGGCGGTCCCTCGGAGCCTGGCATTCTGCTGCAGTGGCACGAACTCTATTTCCCCATTGGGTGTGGCAAGTTTGCCGACGGCGCCCGGTCGGGTGTGCCATTCTTTGTGGAGAGAGACGTAAGGATACGAAAGAGGAGAGGGAGAACAAATCCTCACTGATTTATCGATATTCTAGTATAAGAAAAAGGAGGACAGCAAGGATGCCATTCCCTCGTTCTCCGTGAACATTCCCGTACTGAAGGGTTCCGACCAGAAGAGTCTGCCCATTCACAAGCCAACGGGCCCGCTGGTGCCCCAGGGCACAGGTCTATTTGGCACCGACAAGGGACACACGCATCGCGACTATCCTGGGGATCAGGCGCCGTCCTTCCACTCTGTGAACACCCTGCTTCCGGGCAGCAACAGTGAGAAACAGATCTCTCCGATCCCCCACCCGGCCACGGACTCTAGTCTTTCGTGTTCTTTTAGATGATGGCCAATACAAGCCGGACAGCAATCCCTACAACCATGTGGTTGGTTCCAACGGAGGCAGCGGCGGCAGTGGCGGCAGTGGCGGCAGCGGCTCGGGAGGCGGCAATGGCGGCAGCGGCTCAGGAGGCGGCAATGGAGGATTCGGTGGCTTTGGACCCAACGGTCCTGGTGGTCCAAAGGGACCAAATGGCCCCAACGGACCAAATGGTCCCCCTGGTCCCCCTGGACCTCCAGGACCCCTGGGCCCTGTCGGCGCGGGAGGCGGAGCCTCAGGAAAACCGGTATACAGGGATGGAGATCGCACTGGACTAGGAGCGGGTCAATATAATGCCAATGGCGATGCCACCGGTCCCGGCAGCGGCTCCGGTTTCGGCTCTGGCGATCGCTATAGCACTGGCAATGGCAACGGCCTCGGTGCTGGCGATCGCTATAGCACTGGCAATGGCAACGGCCTCGGTGCTGGCGATCGCTACAGCACGGGCACTGGTGCTGGAGTCGGTGCTGGCGATCGCTACAGCACGGGCACTGGTGCTGGAGTCGGTGCTGGCGATCGCTACAGCACGGGCACTGGTGCTGGAGTCGGTGCTGGCGATCGCTACAGCACGGGCACTGGTGCTGGAGTCGGTGCTGGCGGCAGTTATCGTCCTGGCAGTGGTGCTGGAGTCGATGCTGGCGGCAGTTATCGTCCTGGCAGTGGTGCTGGAGTCGTTGCTGGCAGCAGCTATCGTCCTGGCAGTGAGGGTACCTACACGAGCACCTACACGCACACCGATACCGGTTTTCCTGGGGCCATTGGATACGTATCAGGTTAGCCTACACCCTCAACCCAGTGGAGATCAAAATTTGAACGAGCTGCGGAGGATATAGAAAGGATTCAGTCTTCTACTTATAATTTAACTTTAAGCGCCAAAAGGATCCCCGAAATGTTCGTTCAAATTTTGCTTCTTTCAGCGGGTTTCTCGTAGTTCTTTAAGCGATTCTCTTAACTTATGTTTATGTCTCTTTGTAGCTGATAATTTTTAAATTAAACTTATAAACTATTTTAAGTTTACTCTCGTTTACTTTCAGCCAAAAGATCAGCCATTTAATTATATACTTTTACACTTTTTCTTTGATTTTTTTTGTTGCAAATATTCTATATCCAGAAAGCACCAAAAAACACACACTATATATTAGGCGATAATAGGGCACGATTTTTTATTAGAGCACATCTCTCTCTCTCTCTCTTTCTTTCCCCAAATGAGCGCACAAACTATATATGTATATCCTATATATATATCCTTTCTATATATTTTATATGCACCGACAAAAAAAAAAGTTTAAAATGAAATGAATTTTTTGTTTCTCATTCAAAAGAACACACAGATATATGTTTATATATATATCAATCATGCTTGCACCGATTCTTCAGTTATACACACACACACACACACACATGCACACCACACACACAAACACATACACTTTCATTTATTGTACAATAATTGCACCTAAAAAAAGAAAGAAAGAAAAATACTCGCTTGAGCAATGGAACAAAAACTAACCCAAAGAAACTCCTTTAATTCCTTAACCCACTTATAATCGATTTTTTATCGATATCCATTAATCAATTTCTGGTTTAATCCCCCCATACGCTATATAGATATTGTTACTAACAAACCATTATCCTTGTAATTTTTTGTTGCCGCTTTTGTTATGATTTTTTGTGGTGTCGGTTGTCGCGGACTCCCCTCTGTTTTTGTATTCTGTATGTTATTTTTGTAGTACTTTTTCGTATTGTAATTTAGTTACTGATTACTGTAGTTAGTGATTAGTGTAGTCAGTAGTTGTACTAGTAGTTAATTTGAAATGAAAAACCTTGTATGAACTGTTTACTAATCGAACGATTTCCCCAATCCCCCTACGCTCTCCCTCTCCAGACGCCGGTAAATATAGAGGTGAAGTTGGACGTTACAATGGTAAGCCTCGTAGCTCCACACATCCTTTCGGGCATCATCGATATTTATATGTTACATTTGCTCTGCTTTTAGGTATTAATGATGGCAAATATTATCACGATGATTCGGGTAAATATGTTCACGTTGAAGGCCCAACCGGTCCGCCAGCACCTCCATATGTCCACATTGTGGGACCCGAGGGCGGCTACGGCGGTGAGGGCGGTGAGGGCGGTAATGGCGATGGCGGCGGTGTAGGACCAGGCGGTCCCAACGGCCCCGGAGGACCCAAGGGACCTGGAGGTACGAATACCGGAAAGGCGTAACCCTCTCGAGAATGTTTATCTAATCGTTGATGCATTTTTTGTAGGCCCCAATGGACCACCCGGACCCAACGGACCCAACGGACCCAACGGCCCACCCGGCCCACCTGGACCACCCGGTATGCTTAAGAAACATAATACTAAGTTCTTTAGGAACGATATTTGACATTTTCTGTTTGAAATCTAGGACCTCCCGGCCCCAAAGGACCTACTAGACCCGGACCTAAAGGTAGCTGTCCAAATTCCTTCCAAAATTTCAACCAAATTCTAAATAAATTCTTTGTGCAGGACCTTTCGGACCTCCCGGCCCACCCGGACCTCAAGGACCAACCAGACCAGGACCTTATGGACCTCCCGGCCCACCCGGCCCCACACGCCCAGGACCACCCGGCCCACCAGGTGAGAAAATCAAATTTGATATTAGAAAATTTCCAAAAATGTAAAACCAAAATCTTTTTTCCAAGGACCCACACGCCCAGGACCTCCCGGCCCACCGGGACCCTCTCGTCCTGGCCCACCCGGACCTGGCCGTCCAGGCCCACCCGGACCCGATCGCCCAGGACCACCGGGGCCACCGGGGCCACCACCACCACCACCACCAAACAACAACGGCGTGCGCCCAACCACCGATCCCAGGCATTCGGACAAGGATACGCCCGGATACCTGCCGCCAGATCAACCCGGTAAAATCTCGAAACCACCCCCACCATCCTACTCACAAACCATTCAGTTCGAACCGCCCCCGAGGCAACCCGTGATCAATTACAAACCCAATTACGAACACAATAATGATTATGTGCAAAAGAAACCGGCCACAATCACAAGCAAAACCACCATAAAGCCACCACTAACTTATATTCCTCCTTCTATCCCACAACCAAAACCACAAAAACCTCAACCCGCACCCGCACCCGCACCACCTTCCCAACACCATGTTCCCGTTCCCAATGCTCCTGTTCCCGTTCCGCCATTCCAAACGACAACGATTGTACAGCCAAAGGTCCCGGCTATCGTTATTGAGAAGGATAATAAGCCACCATTAACAGCCGGTAATTTTGATATTCATACATATCCACAGAGACCGCACAACGTTGAACCACACGCACCACCACCACCGCCCACTCCAGCAGTGGTGACACGATACGAAACGACTCCACGAACGACACCCAGACCGACTATCTATCAACCATCGACACCCAGACCGACTGCCTATCAGGCATCCACACCCAGACCGACTGCCTATCAGCCATCCACACCCAGACCCTTTGAAAAGGTCTCCAGTCCACCCATACAATACCATACGCCGCAGGTGCCACAACAGCCACCGCCGTACAGACAACCCGTACAGCAGCAGCAGACGACGACGACGACAAGACCGCAACAGTCATATGTTGTTGAACCAAAAGTAACGCCACGTCCCTCTCCACCATTGCATGTTCCTGCGTATCCGAACAGCGGCGACACCTGTGTCTGCAACGATAGGACGCACCACTCATCGAAAACCACTCAAAGCACCCACTCCTCCACCACCACTAGTAACAACTGTCCCCAAAATCCTGCCTCTGTTGACTTTAACAAACAATTTTCCGGCTTCAATGGACAAGCGAACTTTGGCAGCATAATCAATGCCATGTCACTCACACAATTGCCCGTGATACCCCAAGCGACCGGGCAGCCGGCCTTCTATCCGCTGGATAAGATACCCAAGGGTGCTGTCATCGCTCTCATGCCGGTGGTGATCCTGCCACAGGAGTACTACTCAAATTGCGACGAGAATTCCATCTATACAAGCGGCAAGGACCAGAACAGCATTATCGATCCCTTCCCACTGGGCGTGCAGCCAGCGGCCATACCGAATGCCTTTAGCCTGCATTCGGTGTTCACGGGTGGCGCACCCAAGGATCAGTGCATGTGTCCTTGCTCATGCACACAGAATTTGCCCAGCAGATTGCACAAGAAACGCGAGACAAACGAAAAGGAGGCCACAGAGGTGAAGGCCGAGGCGGAGGTCAAAGCTGCTGCTGCTGCTGCTGCCTCTGAGGAGGCAAAAGTTGAAATTAAACCTGTTGCGGCTGCCTCTAAAGAGGTTAAGGTAGAGATTCCAGTCGTTCCTGCTGCCTCTGAAGAGATTAAAGTGGAGGCTAATCCCATTGCTGCTGCCTCTGATGCAGTTAAAGAGCTTCTGCCAGTGCCAGCAGCCTCTGAGGAGGTTAAAGTAGAGGTTAAACCCGCTCCAGCTGCCACTGAGGAAGCTAAAGTTGAGGTAAAGCCAGTAGCAGCCGCCTCTGAGGAGGCTAAAGTAGAGGTTCTGCCAGTAGCAGCCGCCTCTGAAGCGGTTAAAGTAGAGATTAAACCAGCAACAGCCTCCACCGAAGACCTCAAGCCAGCCGCCTCTGAGGAATCTAAAGTTCTGGCTGATCCACTGCCAATTGAAAAGATCAAGGAGACTAGCGACGACAAGATCAAGGTTGAGACTACGAACTAAGACAACGGCTCTGACGCCCTGACGATTGAAAAAAAAACCCTCTCCCAGATCCCGCTTTAAATCCCGTTCCAGAATCCTACTCCCAAACCTCCCAAACAAAAAACTAATCCACTTTCCAGTCTTAGCGTCTAAGTGTTTTGAAGTTGAAGAATCCAATTGATGTGTTCGCTTTTATTTCTTGTGTTAAAAACTGCCAGTAAAATCGTAGTCTAAAATAATATTCCCAACTCAAGAGAGCGATGATGAAAAATGTGAAAGAAAATTGTAAGAGAAAAAAATTGTTTTGTGACATGTTGTTTATTATGCATTTTGTGTATTCTTTTATTATTTTGTTTATTTTTATGATTTCATTTCGTTTTATTTCCTTACTTCTTTACCAACTTTAGTTTTTAGTTTATTTAATGTCTACTCTAATCAAGGATTGAGACGGAAATATTGAATTGTTATATGTCAAGAGAGCAACTAAATGAAATTAAATAAAAATTAAGAAACAAATATAAAAACTGTCTTAATGGGAGAGAGCTGGCTGTGGGGAAGAAAGAAAGGGGGAAGCTAAGCCACATTGGCCGTCTTTTGACGGTCAACTTAGGCACGAAGGAATAGGCGCTGTCGAATGTAGTCCAACAGTCAAATGTAAAAGTCAGGAATATTGGAGAAAGCCAGTGACCAAGTCGCCTTTAAGGGCGGCCAAATACCGAGTGGTATTCAGATTTGACACAGAATTCTCTACTGATTCTGCTGGCATGCCGTTTTAAGATCTTTAAACTATTGCCACAGCTGTGGTATCATAAAGTGGGCTGCTGTTAAAGTTCAACATTTCTCTGGCACTCGTTGCACTGACGTCATTGCATTTAGTACCGCCACCCATGGGGCATTTCCTGAAACTTTATATTCATAAAAATTATAAATGTCAAACCCCTAAAAGTATAGTCTGACCTTCGAATAATTTAAAAAGCGTTCATGTAAAATAATTATAAATACATAATCAAAAGTCTACTTCTGGGAAAGCCATTTCCAACTGAAAAGTGGTCCACAGTTTTCGTCTGAATGGTTCTAACTTTTTTTGTCAAACAACCACAGCAAAAGAGCACCGACTTTTAGCTAGACTTTCGACATGAAAATCCCAAAAAGGAATAGGGTCCGGGGCCAAAAAACGTTGCGTATTACATTCCAAGAAATCAATTTGGGATATATACAAAATCTTTATGGAAAAATAAGTGAGAATTATGTTTATCGATTGCCTGCCCAGAGGGTTGTCTAAGGCATGCCAGAATGCCTGAATCATCTGTTGCAGAGTAATCTCTTGGTCGACCTGTTTTGTCTGCAACTTTGTTATTTGCTTTTCCCCGACATTTATTATGCGGTAAATTTCGACTAAGACTACCTACCCGCTGCCAAAATATCCAACGAATATTTTAAATGGTATTCAATGGAAAATTCTGGTTACTCTTTCTGAGAAAACAATCAGTAGCAAGAGGGAGGTAAACCCAAACACGTTGCAAATGGTTTTTGTTTTTAATTCTCGTACCTTTAATGGTTTTAGCGGAGCAGTGGGCAGGGCACGCCGCTTGGGCTTGGGTTTTGGGCCATCTGCGCGACACAGGATCAGGGACAGATAAATAAGAAAAACAAAATGCATAGACAGAGCATGGACAGAGAAAGTAAAAACAAAACTCGAGACCGAGGAATGCTACGACAAATAAAAATGCTGTTAAGGGTTGTGTTTTTTGAACTTTTTGCTGTTATTGGACTCTACTTTCAGGTTAAAAATGCAGGGACCAGCTGCAATGCTCCTAGGTGCCAAAATATCCAATTAAAGTTCTCCTTTCACCTACAAAAACATTTTTAAACAATTGTTTTGCTTTTGCGTAATATTTTGCGTATAGTCTCGCCTTGAAATTGACGTGTAACCCAGTTTTCAGTCCCCTTTTTTTGGGTGTCTGTGGATGGATTTTACGACTTTGTGACAAGTCAATAGCTGAATATTTGTAGTGGCCCCGCATGGTAACCGTCCATATAACACTTCACACATCGTTTCTGTGCCTCTTTCGGGTGTGGTTTCTTGTACAGTTTAGGGCTTCAATTTTTATGAATGAAACTTGCACACAATGATTATGAAATCTAGAGTTGATTCTGTTTAACAATTATGCAAGAGGCCAAGCCACACACCACAAAGTCAGGGGGTTTTGTAAATATTTGTGCAACAAACTTTCTGTGGATAATTGGAATTAAAGATATACTAAACAAGCAAGGCGCGTCGGCCCACTTGAAAGAAATTCGATCTGTGAACTGTGGATAAACAAAGTGGGGATTATCGAAGCGGCGGTTGGTTGTTGCGTTTTTTTTTACTATTTGTGTTTGCTAAAGTTTTGTGAAAGATAAATAGCTCTCCGACAAATTAAACACGCACTGACTCCAAAACGAGGCATTTATTCTGTCACTTTGCGTTGCGAATATTATTTAATAATACCAGATAATCACACATGAAAAGTGTCTAGAATTGAGTATCATTTAGGGTTGCAGTTGCTCTGCCAGCCAACAGAAGTTCTCTCTTAATGTATCTTTACGAAACGTTTTGGCCATGTTTACATGACGTATGAGCAATAATGCTGAACTTGAGACAAACAACAAAACAAAACAAAACAAAACAGAAACAACAAAAAGTGCGACAAGTGCGAGAGTTCGCGCTGGCGATGGAGGGGGTGGGCATATGAAGTCTTTGTTTGTCTCTGTGTCGGCTGTATCTTTTGTATCTCTCTGGTGGCGGGGGGGGGGTATGCGCGACTTGAAGTTTGAGGAACGTAGCAACTCAGCCGTAAAATGAAAAATATAAATTGGCCTCTCCGTCTGAGAAGCAGAATTATTTAACGTACAACAGTCGCTGTGAATAGACGTTGTCTTGGCTACCACTTGGCCAGCTCTCCGAATCCAAAGAAGTTCCTTTTTACCCTCACCACACACACACACACCGAGAAATAGCTGAAATAAGTATGTTCAAGCTATTTATGCTAATGGTGAGTGTTTGGTGGTCCAATTTGTTTGTTAATTTCCATAAACAAAAAGCTGTGTTCTCTGGCAGCTAGTGATGGTGGGCGGTGCCTGGAGCGTACAGGTGGCCACAGCCAGGACAACAGGAGCTGACTTGGCCACGGCAGAAACCTCAGCAAAGTGTGAGTGTCAGATCAGGGAACACGTGCCACGAGAGGACATTTATTTATTTTGTAACCACACCTTTCTTTTCGTTAGTTTTGAATCTTTTTGGTGGCGGTGGCAACAACGGATATCCCAACTATGGCTATAATTATCAGCGACCACCGACATATCCTGGCTATGGCTATACCGGCAGCAATGGATATTATGGCAATTCGGGCAGCTATTATCCAACGTCTGGCAGTTATTATCCCAGCACTGGAGGCAGCTATTATCCCACTACCGGAGGCAGTTATTATCCAACGACTGGCGGCTATCCGAATACGGCAGGCAGCTATTATCCCACAACAAATATCCTGGGCTCACAAGGAGGCTATGCCGGCTATGGCGGCTATGGAGGTAATGGCGGTTTGAGGCAATATTCAGGCTATTGGCAGCGCGACTATCAGGGCCAAAGGAATCGTGGCTATGGCTACTATGAGAATACAGATCGTTTGGGACTGCCAGAACATCGCCAGCAGTCGCCAGCAGATCGTTCTTATGGCTACTCGGGCTATGGTTCCAACTCTGGTTATGGTTCCAGCTATGGTTCCTCTTCCTCGTATCGAGGCTATGACTAAGTATCGTTCTGTGATCTCCCATTTGTTGCTTTGTTATTGCCTTTTGTTATACATTTTAATCATCTTTTTTTCCTCTCTTTCCTCTCTCATTTCATTCTATAACAATAAAACAGAATTTGCTACTAATTTAATGTTGGCTTATAACTCATTTTGTTGCTTGTCGTGAAACATTCAAATTACCAACGGATATGCCCAATTGCACATCCAAAATGTGTCCATTTGTCATTCATTCAATCATTCACTTATGCATTCACTTGTCGGCTGTATCTCTTAGATACAGTTGCCGCCTTAAAGTATCTTATGGTTTTTATGTGTGCAACTCTTTTTAATGCCTTAAACCCCCCTACTATTATTACTTTGCAGGCTACAGACAGACTTATGGCTAAAAGCAAAAACCTCTTCAGTTGTCACGCTTCAGCACGCCCACAAATACCCACACAAAAAGAAGATCGTTAAACTTTTATAAACAATTTATTGAATGAATGAACGAACAACTTAAACACCAGAAACCTTTGGAATTTTTCAACCCGCATCTTCGTCAACTTTTTACTGGAGACATCAGCTTTTGCTTCTTGTGCCTTTTTTGTTTGCAGTTTAAGTAAAGTCATGCTTATGTTATCCCAGCCACCTCTCGTAAATGCAGTCAAGCTGAAGCTTTCCTGGAAATTTCACCCTTCGGAAAATGCATTCGGGACGAGCGAGAATGTGGAGCTGCAGTTTGTGATAAACTAATAGATTTTTCTTGTTTAATAAAGCAATATTTTTGCAAGGAATTTACAAGTGGGTGTGGGTGGGTAGGGGTTCACCTAAAAATAAATTTAACACAAACCAGACCCGGCGGCTATGAAAACGGGGGGGAAAAAAACGAAACGATCTCTGCAGGAATCTAAAAATAATATTTTCAAAGAATTTTGGCAGAAAAAAATGGGCTCACACATAACCCTCTTTCCTGTAAATATGCGTAAAATGTTGCATGTTTCCTTGAATACCTTAAGTTTTTCCACACATGTGCTTTGAATATGCATGGAAACTAATCCACAGAGGCGAAACTAACTGGTTGTGGCATGTTCCTTTTCCCAAAGAAATTGTTGTCATTCATTTAAACTTAACCAGAGATAAACATTCTAGACAGAAAAACGTTTTGCCAAACGAAAAATTCGACAGAAAGCAAGGGGAAAACTTTGACCAAAATGTGCATGAACAAAAACTCACCAACTTCTGTTATATTTTTTGCAAACAGAAATCTAGACATTAAAAAAAAATTCCACAGCAATTAAAAATTATTTCTCTTTTTTTGTGTAGTTTTCCCTTAAAGCAGAAAACAGGCACATATGACAACACTTGGAAACGAATTCTACATTCATTTTCCATTCCATTCATGTTGTAGTTTATTTTCGTGTTTGTTCCATTCGAATGCGCAGCTTCCTTCCGTGCAGCCATAAAAAAACGAACAGCAGAAGCCCAAACAAAGATACAAAGCTACTGAGATACCAGCGGCATAGCTACATAATTTGATGGTGTGCATTAAATAATACCAGAGAGCAACATTATCTTGGAAACGAAGATGGTTGTACCCAAGAAAATCGTAAATTTTGTTTCTATTGCTTGGGCAATAAGGAAAGCTAAAGCCAGGTGTTCAGTGGATATCTAACCAAGTTAGGGACAAGAGACAACAGTGAATGATTATCTGAATATTTCCGATATATATTTTACATAAACTCATCTGATATTTGTACAATTTGGAAATAGAATAAAGACGAAACTATTGCCTTTTCCGATTACTTTAAAAATATGTTTCTACTTATTTACTGATTATATTTTCTCTCTGCAAGAAATTGTTGTTCCAGCTATATTAAATGGTTATACAAATCGTGATATATCCGAACTTCGAACTGCCACACTTCGGGGGAATAAATATGCAAAGTAATTCCTTTTCTGGCTGGCGCAAACGCCTCCACAAAAATCAGAAACCATCTTTTCCAGGGTGTACATTTCGTATGGAATATTTCGCCCTAAAATGTTATAACTGCAAATTGTTTACAATACACAAAATATACAAGAACAACAAGCAAGCAAGTCGGCAAAAGGCGATTACGTAGGTCATTAAATAACTGAATATTATGGCATCAAATGGAATTGAGCCAACAAAAAAAGAAGAGTTCTTCTTTTTTCTTTTTATTTGGATCTTAATTAATTTTTCAATGTTTGTTATTGCTCGATATATGTACATCTGTATCGTACACACGATACACGATGCTGTGCTGCACATTAAAGGCAAATAGAAATAAAGAAATAATTAAAGCGCCCCGCGCGAAAAACTACAATAAATAAAACACCACTGAAAGCCGATAAAATTATATGTACGAGTATCTGCGCGGAATGGAATTATTTATTTGCCATGCGGCAACGGATTAAATGCCGAACGACACCGACTGCCGACTGTCGACTAATGTTAACAACATTTTAATTAACGAAACGAAACCGTGGGTGCCATTAACAACAACAACAAATAATGCAACAATTATTGCATATAAATGGATAAACGGAAAGCCGCTTCGGCTCCGGCTTGGACTCTGAGCCAATATTTGTATGGCATACATTTCTGTATTTAGGTCTAGCGGGGGGGCTAAAATATAACAAAAATAGCGAAAATCGCACCCAAGGAAGTAAGCTCAATATGTGACCATTGTTTTTTATATTTCCTGTAGATCTCACGAGGAAGACGGTGGCAAAAATCTCTTGGAGAGTATCCAAACTGTATGGAATCCGTTCTCAGCCTTTGGGCACTTTGATAAATTCTTTTGAATATCAAAAACCATTTCAAGCCCTTTTGAAGCACATATTAAAACTGCTAAAAACAAATTTAAAGTATAAGTTTAAGCAAACAAATTTATATCATTTTTCGAGCAAGCGTTGCAACAAACTCATGGAAACCTCAGCCCCAAAACTGCTTTCTGTCACGTTCTTATCTGCTGTCATAAGAAGAGGGAAACGAAATGGCCAAAATGAAAGAGAAATGCCGAAAACTTGTTCATGGCACTCCATAATTTCCAGCAGCTGCTACTGTTGCTGCTTCTGCTGGCTCTTGCAGCCCCTCACACTGCCATTGCAGCAACCGAGAGTGTGGTCATTGCTCCAACGAACTTCAAAGTGCAGCTTAACTTGTACATGAAGCTGGCGCCAAGCACAGAACACTCACTATGTATATGTGCGCCATAAAATGTATATAAATTTTCTGTTTTCATGCGAACTAGTTAAAGTTATCCTTCCTCCATCGTTATCCTTATCATCCGTTATACCTACAGGCATAAATTGAGTTGCCAGAAAACTTGACATTGCGCCAAATGAGGGGCTTATGTTTTTTTTTTGTTTTTTCACAAAAAGAGGGTCAAAATATTGTGTGCCCTTAATTTATGATAATCCCCAACCTTCAAGGGGTTAAGCGGCGTTCAATGCGCAAAGGGTTAAAAAGCAATTTAAAAAATGCGGAATTTTCTGGCAAGTTTGTAGGTTTCCAGAGCGTATGCTTAATATTGATGGACAACCGTGAAATAAGAACAATTAAATGTTGTCTCAGCGCCGTTGACAGCAATGCAAACTCCTTCTAGATCATGTCCAAGAGGGAATTGATAATCCATTAGCAACGCACACACCTTCTAAAACCAGTTGGGGGTATATTTACGGTCAGTTGTACCCTACCACCACCACATATCATACTCAGATACGTATCGTATATGCTAATCAACAATTAGCTGCTTCTCTTTTGACTTTTGTCTCAAATTTTGTGTGAGTTATTCGATTTGATTCTTGAAGCAAGTTCCATTTATATGGCATGCTTAAGCAATTAACACCCCCAAAGGGGCGCCACGTGCTTGAGCGTCGCACTGTACCAGAGTCGAAAGAGCCATGCCGTAAAGGAGTGTGGATGGATTTTCTCTGCAAAATCAACTAATGATAACTTTAGCACGTGCCATCGAATGGAAGGCAGACAATGAATGATTCAGAATCATTTGTTTTGTTTTTGTTTGATTTTCCCATTAACAGCTGGCGGGAGTGGAGCGGTCTGAAATGAGGGAATGCCTGCCTTCCCAGTGGAATCGATTTAAAGGATGTAAATCAAAGCCAATCGCTTGTTAACATTTGCTGTCTGCAGCGATGCGGAATTTATGCATAAATGCATTTAATTATATCCAATGAAAAAAGAGAATCGAAACAAAACTGGGAGGGCGGTGTATAAACCTCATTTTGGGAAATATTAATTTGAGTTTTCAGTCAGGAAGAGGACGCCATCAAAAGGTTAACTTCACAAGTCAAATAATCAAGAAGCAGACCCCTCCTCACAGCAGACAGGTAAATCAATCAATTTATTGAGCATACGTATGGGGAGCAATATAAATGGAGGACCTTCATGATGCTCAACGATTGAGCAAATGAAAATGTTTTCGGGTTGCCAATTCGCCAAAGTTTGCCCGTGTTGCTCCAGGCTATAAAATAAAGTAAAACCAGTCGAATCGTAGCTCGACATTAAGATACCCTAAGGTGCTAAGTTAATGTATAAATATATAGTTCAATACACATTTGAGTAAGCACTCCAAAGCTCTTTGGTCTAGCATTAACTGGTGTTCGACAGCTAGGTGTTAAATGAGCCAAAACTTAACATAATCACATGATATAATCGTTACAATATTCAAGAATATTTTACATCTAATATGCCCAAATATACTCCTTGAGCATAGTCTTGAATAAAGTAATAATTTAATTAGTTAAGCGAAAAATTAACAGAGTGTTCTGTCCCCAAAGTCAAATACCAGTTTCAACGTTTTCTATAGCTCCAATGATGATGCGAAATGTAAGAGTTAAATTAGTTTGAATCTTTAATTCAATTCACATGGAAATGCTAATGGACGCCATGATGCCACAGACACCACACCACACATTGGCAGCGTCAGGCTCTATTTGAATAACAATCTTAAGTATTCTTCAATTTATGTATCTGTTATCCGTATCTGGTGTATTACACATTTATAAACTATTTTGTATTCGTTAATTGATTGAAGATTGGAATGGGCAAATGTTTGTCTCGGGTAATTGAAAGGCAATTAAATTGATTAAAGTGCTGTGGCACTCCGTTGGGCATTGAATTATGCACTGAGAAAAGGCAGGAAAAGTAAAGCTTATTTACATTGAATGTTTGATTAAATTAGATGAATTTGTGGAGCATAAATTTGGTCAACATTTCCCTTGGAAATACCCTTAAAGGGGTTTTTGCTTTTACTTGTCTACATTTTGGTTCAATTGGCTGGCTTTTGTGTCGGTCCGGTCAATGGCCACAGGTTTGTTTTTGTGTGGCACATTTCTGCTATGAGTTTTCCCTCAATTTCCCCTGTATTATTCTTGGTCCTCACTCATTTCCCTTTGGGCCATGTCTATGCGTTGGACATTCATTGTTCGTTATTTGGGTTACCAAATTATGTGTCAATGATGGACACATTGTGTTGCCAAGGCAACTGGACCTTGCATATCATATCATATCAAATGCCATTCTATCTAATATCCTGTGTGTCTGCTTTTACGTCCAAAATGTCCAGTCTCCCATAATGGTAGTCTGTGTCCTAAATCTATGACCAATAGACAAAATTATTTGTATCTACTTTGCTGCCCTAAATTGGGTTGAACAACTTCTTGTTTAAGTAAAACTTTTGTGTCAACTTTTGCACTTGAATTTCTACTCGTTATTTTCTGAGAGTGTAAAATGTCTACGGACTGTCTTTGGCTAAAATAAATTAAAGATTTAATTACAAGTATTTAGCCAAGCAATTACCAAAGAGACAGAGAGAGGGAGAGGTACCCAGTGTCTGGCAGAGATAACACTTCTGATAGCTGGAATATCCATTAAAACTACACTAGTCACACATTCGTATTTGATCCAATATTAAATGGTAATTGCCACAAATGAAACTTTCACTTATCTTCTCATAATCAATGTTATTTTTCTGCTGTTCCTGCGGTAATCAGTAAGCAAATATCCACACATGATAAAAAATCAAAAACAGTTAACAACAGACACGCCCCAGACTCCCGGCCAGGCCTGAAAGTTTGCTGTTTTTTGCTATTCTTTTTTTTATTGATTAAGATTGTTGTGGGGCTGCACCTGAAATTTCGTGTATGGTGGGAGCCCCCACTCCGCGCATACGTCAGAAGTTCTTATAAGAAAAGATACGCGCCTGCCCCTCTTTGTATCTGTGTATCTGTGTTTGTGCGTGTGCTTTGGGGTTGGGGAATCAATGGGAGGAAGCCGGCACGAAAAGAAAACACAAATTAACAGGCAGTGGAGCTGCCATCAGTTGGTTGCGTGAGCTTTCATCGTGCGGTTCTCGTGGCTCGCGATCGAAACATTTTTGTTTATTCCAAAGAATATTCCCATTCAACATTCGACACTCGACATTGACTGCAATTTGCTCTTAAATTGATGATCAAATAAATTAACATAAAAGCATAAAAACATTGACAGTGGCGAAGCGCGAGTGAAAAAATAGTTTCATTAAAAAAACATTCGAAAGTGTGAACAAAAATATATAAATATAAAGAAACAATTTCTGTGCATTTTCGTTGGCTCTCCATTGTGACTGCTAAAAAATACAATACAACTAATTAAATTTGACAGACGGACAGATGAGGAGACCTTCCTGAAGAGCTGAAAGACTAAACCGGGCTGAAGAGAGCGCAGGAAATTACCAAATGAGAAATCCATTCATTAATTACAATAACATTTAAATCCAACGAAAAAGTAATTAATTTTTTGTCCACTCTGGTAAACAAAACAAGCTTATAGGAATGTAACGACTAAGAGATACTTTATATATTTATAAATCTCATTTAATGAGAGATGAAAGAAGGAGGAATCTGTGCTTGGTTTCCTGTTTTCCTTTTTGTATTATAATATTTATTATTTATATATTTATATTAATAATATTTAGTATGTGATTTTTACCCTTTTTTTGTGAATGTAAAATGAACTTTCGTGGCTCTTTAGTATATGAATTCTCCTACGCAAACCCTCGCAAACCACAAATACCCCGCACTTTTATACTTACTTTATGTGAATGAATTTTCACAAATGTCAATAAGCGCATTTTGATTACAATTAAGAGCATTAAAATGCAACACAATAAGCATAGTAAATACTTTCAGTAATTATTATGGTGGGGGCCAGTCACTCGGTCATTCATTTTCCATTTGCATAAATAAACGCATACAAATCGATTAAAATTGTGCAATTTAAAGTTCATTTCGGTGAAGTTTAATAATTAATGGTGTGTTATCATGTGGGTTGGACAGTGTAGCGGTTCGTAGATTGTTCCCCTTTAGAACATTAAGTATTTTGTGTTGTGTTTACTTGCGATGGCCAAATATTTGCATAGCGAATGTTTCCAGTGGGGCTTTTGCTTCTGCCACTTACCTGTAAATAAAAAGGCGAATTAAATTAAGTTGTTTAAACATTACCGTTCAATTCAAACAACAACATAAAGGAGGAAATGCTAATTGGGACAAGAGTTACATGGAAGGGAGAAGCAACGTGGATTTTCCAATCTTGACAATCCTTTCGTAAATGCTTTGCTTGAAGCATCCCAAAAGCCAGCTACAAGCATCTCAAAAGCCAGCTCAAAGTATCTCAAGAGTATCTCTGAGTATCTCAGTATCTCAGAGCCAACTCAGAAGCACGCAAAAGACAGGCACAGGCAGTAGCTTATTCGATTCCCCGTTGCAGGTAGCTTTTCCGTTTCAATCTTTTTTTCTGAAATTTTTCCACTCTTTGCCATGCACCCACCCACCTTCATTTATGGTACATGTTACTTGGAATTGTTTCTAGGTACTGCGTGCCCAAACAAGACCAATAACAAGAGAATTTCAATTAGAGTTGTTTTCTGGGTGTTATTGCAGGTGCGACAAGGCTCCCCCAAGTTGGGTAAATTTCCCCAAAGACAAAAGCAGAAAATAATAAACAGAATAACCACCTTGAAGGCTGCCTCAAGCCACTGCCTTCTGGCGCTGCCTCCTGCCACCACAAACCCAAGGAAGGGTATGCATAATACACAAATATATTCTTTTTTTCCACACAAAGTCTTTGGGGAAGCAGCAAAAGCAGAACGAGAAAGCTTTTCCCCATAGTTAGGTTTATATATAGTTCTAGCATTAATAACACTTATTAGGGTTCGTCACAGCTTGTGTTTACTGTAAGTCTCCCCTTTTAAATATTTAAATAAAAGTCCAAAGCACGCAAAGTGTACACGCATTGAAATGGATTTTTCATGTCAAGGTTTTCCATTACCTCCAGCTCAGAGTTGGCTTGGGTTTTCTTTTGCTCGAATATCGAGGTGTCCTTTCTCTAACCTTTGGCTGTGGCTTTTTTGTCTGGTAATTTAATAGGTATAAAACCGCTAATTTCTAACCAACCGAAATTATGTGGATAATGATGTTCCCTCAATCAAGTGGTTTTTGATTAAATACACTCGCATTTGCACGCATTTTCCAGAACAGTCAGCAACACAAATTTCCCTGTCCTATCGCATAACAGAATTAATTACAATTATCCGTCATGGCTTGAAGGTTGGAAAAGGAAATTTTACACCCTCTTTTGCTACATAATTTATGTTGCTCTTTCGGCCCAAAAATTCCAAAGCTCTTGGCTTAAATTTATTTCAATTTTCACAGGTAATGTTAATGTGGGCTTCCGAAATTAAGAAATTCTGGCTGGAAAAATCTTCACGGAAGGTAACTTTTATTTCTATACAATGCCTGTGTCTTTTGCCTTTGATGTGCATGTTTTTTCCTCGTTTTTCTCTTGCCTTTGTTCCAATATTTCGATATCGTTATTGTTTGGCAAGGAAAACCCCTTGACTTTGTATTTGTTCTCTTATTTGCCCCTGCACCTGCACTGGTGCTCTCTGTACGTGGCTTCTGATGCGCTTATTTGTACCTTTGTGGATGGAAATGTTGAGCAACGACGTTCGCTTTCGGGCTTTGTTGTTCCACCGTTAGAGGGACAACAGCAGCACCAGCAACTGCTCCTTCGCCGTCATTGTTCCCCTAAGAAAAAGGCCAAGGAACAGCTGGAATTTGAAATGGCAAATGGCATTTGCCTTGAATGCTTTCGCAAAAATTAGCTTCAACTTCAAACTAAATCGAAGGCGTGAGAGGGGACGGTCTTATGGCTCGACTTGAGATTGTTTTTTCGCGGGTCGCTGAACGCTGGCTCAAGATGTTTTTTGGGTAATTACTGGGGAATTTTCTCTCAAGGATGTGTGTCGATTTATTGCAAAGTGTAAAGAACTTTCAAGGAGTGAAAACTGTAAAGGTTCATTGGCTTTGTTGAGGAGCCGTCAAGAATTTCCGTTTGGAAACATTTTTCAAGGGTTTTCAAACTGTTTAAATGAGTTTAAAGCGCAGCCAAATTTAAGGAATTTAGGGATCCAGTATCTCTCTCACAACGAGACTAATAGGAGTTAAGTTGTGGTCAATTCCCTGAACAAGCGAGTGACGAGAGGTCAGGAATGAAAGGTAAGAGGAGTGGCAAATAGAGGATATGGAAAAACGGAGCTATGTCCATTTATAGGGCATGAGATCACCGACCTATTACTGGAATGTACTGGGCGCCTGTTGCCTAGCAAGCATGCTGGCTGAAGGGAAGTGGAAACGACACGTGCTGTATGAGTTCCGAGTTCCTTAAATAGGTTTAACCGGTTGAAGTGATATGGGAAGTTATAAACAGCAGGTAGGGGTCCTCCTGAGGGGACTGTAACAATGGAACTGGGCAGGCACCGAAAATTCTCATCAGTGCGCAGAAACAATGGAGCTCGGCTGGCAGCGAAACGCCTGGAAATGGCAGCCAACTGTGAGGCTTCGGAATGCCGCTTATAAGCGTAAATTAGGTGGAGCAGCAGAGAGCTTCCTTGCAATACAACAATTCTCTAAATTTTGACATTTTTAGTGCTTTTTCTCTAGCAACTTTTCTGCATGTCTTTCACCATAAAATGTTCTTCTAATTTTCCCCCCCTGACAATTTTCTACAACAGTCTTCCTTCCAGTCTTCCGTTTAGCATGTTTTCTCAATGTCACATTTACCATATACTGCTGATGCCTGATGCCATCACGAACTCAGTCACCGCCTGGTGTTGACTTCTATTGAAAAATTGTGTCATTTTTTGTGTTGTATTTTTACGCTTTTCTCGCAGAGATAGAGTTGGCCAGCCACCAGCCACCCCTCCACGCTCATAAAGAAAAGTCCAAGCAGTGGCATGTAAATTGTAGAAGCCATTGAAGAAGTTAGCGAAAAGCCAAGAAAAGCTCAATGGGGAGAACCAAGTCAAAAGAGCAGGGTGGACAAAAAAAAATAGCAGTTATTTTGCAAATCTTTAGACATTTTTCTCCACAAATAGAAAGTTACTCCCTCTGACAACTGACTGACCATTTCAAATCTATTTTTAGTTGCGCATGGAAATGCTTATAAATTTAAGTGAGGGCGACAAACTTTTGCTTTAATTCCTTCCAGATAGATTTTTCTAGTTATGAAAAGAAAAAGCCAACATTTGTAATTAATTCAACGACAAATGTTGACACTTTTTCTGGAAACTCAGTGAGTTTCTAAGAGTATTTGCCAGCATTTTCCTTAACAACAAATCACACACCTGAGTGTGCACATTTATTCCGGTAAATGAATCCATTAATCAAATTGAATCATTTATCTTCAATTATTGACAGTTTTAATTGTTCTATTGTCATAATTGCAACGTTAAATATTTATGCCGGGTGAGCCCCAGATGACCCTGCCATCTGCCTCCATCAGTTGGTATCATGTTGACTTTGACAGTGAGTGAGAGGCATTCGTTGAGGCATTCCATAAATATTCATGGGATTCGTCGGAACAACAATTAGTTTCCATTGAATATTTGATACTATTTCAGCCACAAAACGTATCTGTTCTTGGCAGACAGACCTCTTGGATTGTCAGATTATGCGGCTACCTGACAAATTTATATTTCTTTAGTGTCCTTTGTGCACATGTCACTGGGGTGTGATTTTTTTTTGCATTTAAATCTGCTGATTAACTTGATTTAGGTCTGTCATTGGCATTGCAATGGGTGTCTGTCTGCTCTGCCTGCCCTTATGTTTGCTCCTGCGACTGTTACTCTGTCTGCTCCTCTGAGGCATACAAGTGCCTTGAACTGCACTTCAATTGCTTCAGCAAGTGCCTAGCGATGCAAATAATATATCGATCGGTCTATATGCAAATCTCAAGCCCAAAGGCACTCCCATCACCGCTCTCTCTCGCTGGTATGAAGATATTAATTTGCTGTTAAGAATAACTTGAGAATTTATTTTTTTGTTTAGATGATTTGCTGGAACTTTAATTGCATATTCCAGCAGCAGCATATGTGTGGCGGCGGCTGGCTGGCTGATTGGCATTTTTATATACTTTTTGAAATGATTTTGCCACACTTGGAATTTATTTCATTTCAAATACATCAAATGCCAGTCAAAAAAGGAGGTACAATCTGCAGGGGGAAGGTGGCACAATCTGTGGGAGCAAGCAACAAAATCTCTTATGAGTATGAGCCATGTCAGGAATGTCTGCAGCAGCCCTCATGCTGGCATTCAAATGAAATCAATTTTTACAAGCACAAAATATGTTTCAATCTAATCATCAGCCCACTCAACAGAAACACAACAGGAGCACCTTTTTGCACCTGTCCACGTGGGCAAAAACCAAATTATACCTTGGAGACTGCC